CTCTGTCTCTGGCGAATCCTCTCACCCTCCGCATCTCTGGCCTGTACCCCAGTTCTGTATGAATAAATAAATAAATCTTTTTTTAAAAATTAACAAAAAATGAAAATAAAGAAAATTTATAGTAATATGACCTTTGTGAATTTTATCCTTGCATATGAATTGTTAAAAAAAAAAAAAACTCAACCATGGAAAACAACTTTTTCCCTTAGTAACAGACCCTGACTCTCTATGTTCCCTGGCGGCAAAAATTATTGCCTAAACCAAGCATTATACAAGCTATTAGTTTATAGACTATAAAATCATGACTTGCATTTTTCATTTACAGTGAAATTGATGATACTATCTCTGTAACATGATGCATACAATTTCATAGCAAGCTTAACAGAAAATTTGTCACGTACGTTTGATTCCACATGCCTGCAGGACAGCTCATTTACATTTCGTTGCTTGGCATATAAGGAAAAGCTCTATCTTAAACACTGGAAATAAAATGCATGAACAGGTAGTTTATGCCAATAGATTCTGAATGCAATGCAAATACTGATTAAATTGCCAATGACAATAATTCGTTTTACCCACATTTTATTAAAATGCCCCAAATGGGGTTTCACATTCTTTCCCTCTCTCTCCCCCCCAATCTCTCTCTCTTTCCCTCTCTCTCCAAATCTCTTTCTCACCAAACACTCATTCCAAATTAAGGGTCTATCAACACCCACCAATGGGTCTAACATGAGATACCTGGCACTGCTACCCAATGGAATCACTCTTGATTCAACCCTTCAGAGTCTCTATGTTTCCATTCATTACTGCAACGTTAGTGAAAATTCTTACAGAGGAATAGAGGATCCAATCATCTAGTATTTTCTTACTCCTCATCTTACTGGATAGGCTATAGGATATGAAAAGAATGAAAACTTCAAACACAACACCAAAATAGAGCTTTCCTTTACAACCCTTGACACCCAAAAAAGGCAATGGAAAAAATTACTAAGCAAACTGTGATTCTCTCTTGTCGTCTTAAAATCTACACCTAAAATTTCATTTACCAGAAAGCACCAGTACTCAACAATTGATTTATCAAAGATCTTAGGAAAGATAAACATTGTCCTTTTCTTTAAAGTTGTAGGTAGGACTACAGATCTTAGCCCTGTCTCTTGTTTTATGTTGTCCTCTTATAGTCTGCGAATTCTGCTTATGGGTAAGTACACCCATACATTTGTATCAACCATTGGCATAATTAAAACAAGTCCCCAAGAAAGTCAAATCTGGCAGGTTGAGATAGTTAATCCTTCTTTGCATGAACAAAAGGACATTAAATGTCATTACCTTTGAGAACAGAAATATGCTGCCGAGTCTCTCCATCTGTAGGGTAGCTCCTGAATTCAATATCTTCACCGTCTTTCAATTCAACCTTATCATAGCCATACCAGCCAAGGAGTTCATTCATGGTGTTTTCTGCAAAGTTCTGAAAGAAAACATAGACTACTTAGTTATATAATCAATAACTAGCTTAAAAGAATATATAAATCAAATTGTTTGCGCTACCCTTTCACTGCCGGCCATGTGAGCCTCCCCTAGCATTGTGTTCATTTTTCAAATCACGTGCAAAGATTGTAATGCATTTAAATTTCAGAGTGATTCATCCAATTATGATAGACCTTCAGACATTTGTAATTTAAAGATAATAATAAGGTCATTTACTAATATCTTAGCATATTTTTCTTCAAAGTCAATATCCCACACTAACACAAAAATATTGAAAAGCAAAGTACAGAAATAGCTAAGAAAGGATTTTGAAAATGAAAACAATTAATAGACCATTGTGGCTTAGGTTAATTGAAAACAGAATTGCTTTTTGACTCAGGTGTTTCTTTACATGATTTATGTCAGATAAAACAAAATCTCAGCAAAGAAATAATTTCTCAATTATAAACACTGCCACTCAGAAAGCTGAATAGGCTACAAAGATTTTTTTTTAATTTTCCCTTTTGCAAAAATATTCTTTAAAAGTTAATGCATAATTTGCTTTTCAAATTTCATTAGTGGCAGACTTTCTCTGTGACATTAAAGGTCATTCTGATTGCCTTCTGATAAGCAGCCTACAAGTACCAAATAACTTTAAGGTTACTGGCCAGACCAGATTTTGGATAATGAATGGAAATTCTTTATCAACTATCAATCAATATAATATAATTAATATTGTTATGATAGATATCATACTGCAAAAATAATAGCTATAATTGGACAGATTTACAGCTACACTATCAGGAAACTGGCTTTTATGAACTTATCAACTGCTAGATCAGAAACAAGAGGTAAGACTATGTGTGTTAATGTCCTTAATGCCCATGTATGACTTTCAAACAGCTATGATGGTAGTCATTTTGCAATACATAAATGTACCAATCAACAATTTTATATTCCAAATGGTACACGAAGTTATATGTCATTATATTCCAATAAAGCTGGAAGAAATTTTTTTTTTAAGATTTATTTATTTGTGCATACAGAACTGGAGTACAGGCCAGAGGAGCAGGGATGGTGAGAGGCTTCATCAGAGACAGAGAGGGGAACAGGAATAGGCAGATTGACAAAGTACACTGCTGAGAGGAGCAGCGGGCGGGTTAGGAGAGGTCTGCCTAGCCATACGGATCACCTCCAGGGCGGGCAGAGTTCGAACTCATGCTAAAAGGGCTTTAGCTTCTTACTGCTGTGCTTTAACCAGCTGTGCCACCAGGGAGGGCTGCTGGAAGAAATTTTAACCAAAAAGGAGACTATACTACAAACTAAAGGTTTAATAAAATTTTGTTTAATGGATTAAAAAAATCCTCCATCTGTTTTCTCAAACTGCTAAAAATGGAGCTTCCATATGACCTAGCAATCCCACTCTTAGGTATCTACCCAAAAGACACAAAAACACTGATTCAAAAAGATACCTGCACCCAATGTTTATTGTTGCTTTATTTACAATTGGGAAGACATGGAAACAACCCAAATGCCCAAAAGTAGATGACTGGATTAAAAAGATGCTATACATATACACAATGGAGTATTACTCAGCAATCAAAAAAAAATAAACACATGCCTTTTGCAGCAACATGGATGGAGCTAGAAGGGACCATGCTTAGTGAAATAAGCCAGAAAGAAAAAGAAAAATACCAGATGGTTTCACTCATAGCAGGAGTATAAAGGACCAGGGGAGAAAATAATAATAATAATGAACAACTACATACCAGAGACATTTTACGGGGGAGGGGTGGAGAATGGGATCAAAAATGGTGGGGAGAGAGGAGTGCACTGGACTATGGTGATGGCATATGGGTGATTTGGTGATGGGAAGCCCATGGGGATTACAACTGAGGTGGAAAAAGGCACAAAATGATGTAAAAATAGACTATTATATTGTTTTTTAAAAATCCAAAAAGGAAAAAAAAATCCTCCATCTGGCAAGGCCTCTTGAGCCTTCTAGAGTGAGCTAGAAAAACTATTCTAACCTTTTCTGTGGCTCAAAGAATCTTTTCTCACTCTCCCTAAAAGATATTTTGTCTGAACTGCATTGTGATGTATAGTTTATATGCTTGAAACAGAGCACCCGGGCTAAGCCACAGTGAGCACAGCCTCAAAGTGAGTTTTGTACTCTCCTGAATTTCACAATTTCAGATTAAGGGTTGCATTAAAAAAAAAGAAAAGATTACACTACTGACTTCATAAAAACAAAGTTGGCATTTGAAACCACACACAGGATGTTGGATTTTTTTGCTTGTGCCCACTTAAGCTCAGAGTTCCAACTGGGCCGATCTGTGATGATAAAGCACACCAGCAATTAAAAAAAAAATCTAGATTGATTCAGTGTTACCATCCACAAGGCCAACAGTCAGCTATATCAAGCTTTAGTGAGGCATTTATTCTTTCTGATGGCTGGTCATGTCCACATTAAATAGACATTCTTTTCATGAATGCACAAAGATGATATGATCGATATGAATAATAAGCTCAGCAACTTCTGGAATACCACCGAGGAGGACTCAGCTAAATGCCGCTCTACTCAATCAAAAGAAATCCTTTTAATGAGGCGTCAATCTCCTCTAACACCCAATTTCTTTCGCTAAGCTGAGTGCCTGGACAGGAGAATGACAGTCCTTAAGCTAACAAATAGAGATCCTCCATCAATGGCCTGGCAGCAGAATCTCAGAGGATAGATAACAATTATACCTTGCATTGAAAAACCAATTGCCAATAGTGCTTAAAGCCAAGTTCAAGTCACCCGATTGGCCTGTACGCTGTTTGCCCCAATCTCTAAAAGAGCTGTGCCAATGAGACAAAAAAATAGCTTTGGCACAGTAACTCCTGGCCACCATATCTTATTTTGTAGACCATTTGATTCTGGATACCTCTCTTTCTGGTTCTGTCTAACCTCTAAAGTGACACAAAGGCCGCAGATGCATAATTCATGGAGTAACCTCCCAGCCAAGGATATAGATTTGTTTGTTTTAGTCCAGCTGCAAATCCATTCAGCCTTTCAGAACCAATCTCAGGGACAGAATCCATAAGTTTGGGTAAAAGCTGAAACTTCAACTGGATTATTAACACCAAATTCATGCTATTTGGGCATCTTAACTGCATCACTTAGTTTACGGCTTGTACTGGAAAATTCTGGGTCTTCATGGAACAATCAATAGGAACTTGATCTATTCTATGATTTCTAAGTTATTATAAATGTGAGTGAAAATAAACTCTAAAACATCCCCTTTCTTGTCATGGAAAGTAAAAACAAGTACCTTCGTGTTTTGAAAAATATAACTGCAAAAGTAGAAAGCAAAAGGTTACAAGTCCTCAAGCCAAAAATCCCACCTTTCATGGAAGGAGGAACAAGATGACAGAAAAAGACACCAAGGGCACCCTCCCTGGTGGCACAACGGGTTAAAGTGCGTCACTGCAAGCGAGGCACAGCCATTTCAGTGCAAGTTCAATCCCCAGCCCAGGAGCTGACCCACATGGAGCAGCAGACCTCTCCTGCCCTCTGCTCCCCTCAGCAGTGTACTTCATCAGTCTGCCTGTCCTGCTCCCCACTCTGGTGAATACTCTCACCATCCCTGTACCTCTGGCCTATACCCCAGTTCTGTATGCATAAATAAATAAATCTTTAAGAAAAAGAAAAGACACCAAGGTTTCCTGTAGTGGAACAAGAAAGAGACTATTTCATAATTACATATATTATATTAAAGAACCAAAGAATTCCAATATATAAATAATTTAAATGTTTTTATTTCTAGGAAGAATTTGATGGTGGGCTTGAGAAATGGAATCAATTTTTGCAGCTATTATCCAACAAACAACATATTCTAAGAGAAATGAACTTAATGTATATAGTCCATGAGGGTTTTCAAGTCCTTCTGGTAGAGAGTGTGAATGGTTATTATTTCCAATTTCTTGGTATTATTATTCTTTAAAAAGGTTTCTATTTTTAAAATAATTAATTTCCTACATAAGTTTAAGTAAGTTATCTTCTTAAAGTGATGAGTTAAAATTCAGAGAGATCTTCAAGAATGCTTAATATTAATAGTAAGACAAGTTACTGTACTAAGGGAGATTGTGAAATCTGCTTCCCTAAAAATCTTCACCCTGCATTTGTCCTGAAGACTTAGGACAGGAAACTTAAGTTGTCTTTTAAAGTTCCTCCCAGCTCCAAGATTCTGTGAAATCAAAGAACTCCTATTTATACGGGAAATAAAATACCTTTTGCAAAGAAATATCATAATTATAGTGATCACACATCATAAATTTTACTGAACAGCCACTAGTTCAAACATTTTATCATCGCTCCCATAAACCATCAAAATGTGCCAGAAATTTCAATATTCTGGCATACAAATCACATTTTGCAGACTGCCTCTCACCCTTGGATGTGGCACAAAAATCCACTCTCATACCATGTGGTCCAATTTGGGTTTGGAAAATAGGTCACTATAATTATAATGATAATGTCTAACACTTTTATAGCACTTTACAATATTTCCACATCCTTTAAAGCTCTGTTCCTTTCAATAACTCAATGAATTAGGTGTTTGATTTCCACAGTAAACTTTTGGTGAACCTATGTGAGAGCCTCATTTTACACCAGAAAATTAGAGCATCAAGAAGGTAAACGATAGGTATGAGAGATCACCATCCAGTAAGATCAGAACAAAAATACAGATCTTCCTATTCTTATTCCAAATCTCTTTCTATTATAAATTCTGTATGGTCAAATGTGTCAGCAAATCCAAATATTCTATCTCCTTGGACCAAAGAGTTGCAAGGCAATCATATGATAGGGTTTCAATTACCACATTTAAAGAGATTTCCATCCATGGCATATCTACCAATGTTACAATTTCACCTGCTTTGGGGGGTCTGTGATTGGCTAGTACTCTCCTTAACTATTTGTATTGTTGGAAATTTAATCTCATTTTCACATTTTTTTTT